ATATGTCACTTATAACATAAATCATAACTAATTTTTTTCCACCTAATATTTGATCTCACAGATTAATCTTGATTTGTGTCAAGTAAGGAGACAAACACTTTTTAACATTCATTTTTTTTGTTTCATATTCAAAACTTGAATTCGAAATTTCTAATTAAAAATATTTTTATTTTATATATTCCATTCCCGTTCTTTTTTTTTAACCATTAATGGATTTGGTCGCAGAGTTTAATGTTTGGTTACACTAACGCATACGTCCTTCATAATACATATATACTTGATCGATGGACTTTTATTTTGTTAATGTAGCATTTAAGTTGATTGTTGTAATAGTATAAATTAAATACGAGTTAAGAATTTCAATTTTTTTTGAATTTGAGTATCAAATAATTAGATTCGAATGATTAAATTAATAATAACAAAAAAAAATATTGCGGACTTGTTTTAAGATAAAATAACTAAGTTTTTCCCTTTTGTATATATTTTGATATTTTAATCATGAGTAAATAAAATATATTGAAAAGAAGTGTTATTTATGCATCGTATTCTTTCTAATATTTTAATTAATTTCCAAAAACAATTTGTTTTGTCTCTCAAATTATTGAATATTTATTCTGTAAAAAACTGGTAATCTAACTTAACTTCTTTTTTTTTTTGGTTTTAGTGGGTGTCTTGACACTTTAGTCATAGGTACATACTCCCTAATGAATAAGTTATTAGTTATTTTTTCTTTATATTATTCTCTGACTCATCTCAGATTAGTTGATCATCTAATTGTTTCACATTAATTGATGGTTTTACTGAATTAAAAAAGTATTAATTAGTTTTATCTTAATTTAGCAAGTAATCAAGTAATTTGAAACAGTACGCTTAGAAATGTGATCAGTTTATCATAAAACGAGAGAGTAATTCTTTTAAAGTGTTCACATTGTCTATAAAGTTTTCAAAAGAAATTTTACGAGGTGAATTAGTAAAATCATCTTTTTATTTATGATTTCTTAAGTATCGTGCAAAATAAAAAGTGATCAAAATGAAAAAAAAAATCATAAATACATAGATCAATTAATATATAGATCATTTTTAAAAGAAAATTGGGATAAAAAACACTAGGAAAATTGCTTTATTATTATTTTTTTATAACTCATATTTTGTTGGGGGAAGAAATTTGATATTTTTTTATAACTCATATTTTGTTGGGGGAAGAAATTTGATTTCCTCGATTGCACATTTAAGAACTTTCATTAATTAAAAATCGGCACATTAATTTACTTCATTCTATATATGCTTAATGTTTTCTTGATTTTAATTTTTTTTGTCTAGTCCTTCAATTTCATAGTATTCAACACAATATATGGAAAAAAAATTACAAACAAAGAATTACTTATAAAATTAAAATAAAGTAATGACAATCAATTCTAGAAGAGGAAACTGCCAACCATATTTTTTAAAAAATTTAAATGACATTAATTTGACGGAAAAAAAATTAAAATGTCAAAGTGAAAGAGTACTATGGGTACTATGGATGTAAGTCAAAGGTGTCATGTCTTTGATATTATAATTGGATGAATAAAATTTATAAAATTTCTACCTAATTTCTTAATTAAAAGTTTTGATCAGTTTAAATTCATTAAAAAAATTATATTAAGACGTATTTCTTTTAAAAAAAAATAAATTTAACCGATAAATCCAAATTAAGAGCCGGTTTGGCTCAACTTAAAAGCTGGTCAAACTCACTTAAAAGCTGATTTTTTATTTATTTAGCTGTTTGACAATACTCAAAATAATTTATTTTAGGTTAAAAAAAACTTATTTTAAGCCAAAAGTTAAAAGCTGGGGTAGAAGTGTTTTTTTTAGCTTATAAGTTGTTTTAAGTTGATCATTATTTTTACCTTTTTGCCCTTAATATTTTTATACAATCTCCAAATTACCCACATAACCCTAACATCTCTTTCTTCCGTTTTTCCCTTTTCACGTGTGGATGATGGACAATTACTATTACTAATGAATGAAAATAAAATAAATTTAAAATCTTTCAAATGATCTATTCAAATTATATAGTATTAAAAAATATAAAATAAATTGCAGATATAACTTAAATAAAAATTTATATTCCTCTTATAAATAATTTGTAATAATACATAAATATGTGAATGATAGACAATTATTATTACATATGGATGAAACTAAAATAAAATCTTAAATCGTTCTTTGATATATTCAAATTATATATCTTTAAAATCTATAATAAGTTTATATTCCTCTTGTAAATAATTTGTGATGAGAAAGAAATATGTGAATGATAGCAAAATATAATTATTTATGGCTGTAAAATATAAATTAATTAACTTTTATTATGTTAACAGCTTTGAAGGTATTTCAGACATTTTGATTTAAAAAGCTGTTTATCAGCACTTATTTGCCAAACACATCAACAACTTTTTTTAACAACTTTTTTTTTAACTTCAGCACTTTTATTCAAACACATAACTGCTTATTTTAAAAATAAGTTTTAGCACTTTCAAAAGTACTTTTTTAAAGCTGCTTTTATTAAGCTCATCCAAACGAGCCCTAAGTAATTTAACGAAGTGTCAAATAAAAATAAAAATTGTCAATCGTTACTTTTAATGCTAAGTTGCCAAAATAACAATAGCCTTTAATAATTGGAAAAAGAATATTATGTGAAAGAATGGGTCAAACTCATTATGAGACACATAAGTTTACGCGTTATGAAATGTGTCCTTTTCTACTCACTATATAAAATATTGATCAATGGGGAAAATTGCACGTTTAATTTTATTTGTCATATTTTAATATAAAATTTTATGTATATTATTATAATATTATATTATTATAACTCTTAATATTTATAGTCTTGAACATGTTATGATATTTATATCAGAATAAAATTAAAATTTAATGTGTACAAATTTAAACGATTAGTTATTTTTTGTTCAAAGCCTTATATTTGTATTAAGCTCATAACATTTAGAATGTATACCAGCATTTGATAACATTACCCTAAAACTTAAGAATTTATAAAAACAAAAATGATGGCTCCACAATTTTAATTTGTGTAATCATAAAATTTTCTCATTATAAAAATTAATGCAGAAATAATAATAACAAAGGTCAAACACAGTCGAACCAATAATTATAAAGTTTTAGAATTTCTTCTAACATTAATTATATTTATGTTGATTATGACATAGCATTGATTTTAAATGTCGGTTTTAGTTTTTGCAAATTTGGTCCAATTTAAGTACCCACCTTAAGAAATTAAGAACGTGCATATTTATATTTTATTTTTTTTAGTTAAATCGAACAGTAAAAAATTTAGACTGTCAATCAATTGAGTTACTAATATTTTCATAATAACTTAAAATTATATTTTTCTCAAAATAAATTCAATAAAGTAAAAGGTTGATAAAAGTTATGATATTGTCCATAGATAATTAATTTAATATAGAAAAAGGGTAACATAATAGAATATTTGTGAAAAAGGAATTGCAAGATCCAATGTGAAGAAAAACAAAGTTATTATTATAACTTATATGTAACAATAAAATTCTTTTTTAATACTAGAGAAACATTGTATAGAACATTATAATATCAAGTGAAGATCAACAGAAAATTAACAACCTTGTTTAAAGTAAGGCACTAATTAAAGTTAGTGCAAGGTCGGTGATAAGTATTTTTTTGATTTTTAACTTGAATTATCGAATATCCTGCTCCTTATACAGGAGCAGCTCTGGTTGAATATGTATCGTAAACGACACACATTAATCATTTATGATTATCTCTCCAAATAAGCGCAAATGTACCATATAGGGATATAATTAAAGAAGATTTTAACTTTTTCTTCGATGAAAATTTTTGGCGTGAATTAAGTTAATTGTGTTTAAAACAAAATATTGAAAATTCTCTCTCGGAGAACAAATATTAAAATTAATATTGGGAATATTTGCATGGGAGAATATTATAAATATTGTAAAAAACGGCGGTGTTACTCGAAAAAAAAAACGCGCTTATAATTACGAAAAGAAAAATTAGAGACAACAGGGTTGGTGTATGAAAACGCGTTTGTCATAAATTAATCTTGTCTAATTATAATAATTTTATTTTCAATCAACTAGTTAATTATTATAAATTATATTTCTATTCTTCGATAAATTGTTAATGCTAATTAATTCCATCCATGATAAATAAATTCTTCCCGTCAAATCTAAGTTTTAAAAAACTAATAGTCTCGAAGATCTATCGATATATTTTACCTTTTTGAAACTTCAGTACTTTGAGCCCGTTTAAATTGATTTAAAAGTTAGTCAAATTTATTTTTAAATTAGTTTTTTACTTCTAAAAGTGTTTAACAGATATAAAAAAATAACTTAAAATAAGTTATGAAGTATTTGATAAGATAAAAAATAACCTAAAATAAGTTAGAAATCAAAAGTAAGTCTCTCTCTGTTTTTTATTTTTAACTTAAAAGTCATTTCAGTACTTTTTATTTTTAATTTTAAGAATTATTCTTTTAAACTAATTCAAACGGACTCTTTGTAATAAGACAATAAAATAATAAGAGGTTAATTAAAATACTTTCAATATATTAAAAACGTTGATTGAGATACTGATAGAGACGATACTGAAAAAAGAAAACATTTTTTGAACTTATTAGCTGGAAAAAAAAATATAATGGGACTTTAAATTTGTTTGCATTATGTTGACGTTGACCAGCACTTCTTAATAAATACAAATAAATAAACCTAGAATAGGTCAAAATCAGATTCAAACTCTTCGCTCAAACTTATTTTAGATCTTTATAAGGAAGCAAATAGATTCGAGCCTCGGGTATACAGAAATTTATATCGAAATTTGGGAGTTTTATCTCTAAATGAATATTAGTATACGGATCAGATTTAATTAGGACTTTAATTAATGTTGATTTCAAATACCAAATAAAAAATCAAAAATGAAATTAAGCGAATCAGAACTAATTATAGAATTTCGTCATATTAGCATATCGTGATTTAGCTTAAGAGTGACAAATGAACGTGTTAAGATGAGTTTATTTAGTAAGTTAAAAATAAGTAAAGATAAAAATAAACTAAACTAGGGTTGGGTCGAAGATGAAATGACTTACATTTTACAAAATTCAAAAATAATACCACACTTACACCGAAAATAAAATCTTAAAATTCGTAAATAGATCATTTTTATCAATTCAAATATAATACCTCGTTGACAACGAAAACATTTAACTTATAAGGTTTTGATCTTGATAGGAAGTTGGCTGGTCGTGTCTCATCTGATTCATAACCTACTAATCCGACTAATTCAGATTCATACCGTTCAACTATACCTTTATATACATTTTCATGTTAATTTAAGAATTATTTTTTTTAAAAAAAAACAAATGTAGTAAAATTATGAAATAAGAAAATGATAAAGGAGTTGATTCCATGCATCAGGGACCCCAGGTAGACACCAATGGATACAATCCATACTATTAGTATAGATGGATTGATGACCGTCCGATCTGTATTGTGATAATCTTGTGATGTTGATCAGACGGATGAATAATTTTGATATATTTTTCAAAACTTTTTCCAGTTCTATTTCTCCTGGATGTATAATTCCTGGACTTTGTGCTGGTCCTGTTTTTCCTTTACATCTGAATATAAAAAAAATAAAATAATTTTTAAAAAAATCAATTTCAAGATATATTAATATAAATTATCATCTAAATGAAACAAGAAGTTAATAGATAAAGTAGTAATTTTGGTCCTGGTAAATTTTGCTTTTTGGTACTTGTGATATACTCACTCTGTTTTAATTTATATAAAAATATTTAATTAAAATTTATTGTAGTCTAGAATAATTAACTAATTTTTTTTATGTCTTTATATCATTTCATTAAATGTAAAATGAGAAGTTTTAAAATTGAATTATAATTAAATATAAAAATATAATGTTAGTTTGAGGATAAACTTAAAAGGAAAGAGTACTATCACATAAATCGGAACAAAAAAAAGTATATAACTCAACATATTCAACTTTCAATGAATAAAAAAAATATGTTACGTTGAATGATTAAAAAAAAGTCTTTTTAATCCCTTTGGTGAAAAAGGTATGTTTTACGGGATTACTTTTGCATTATATCACTGTTAAATATGGAGTGACAATACAAATATAATGAAATGAGTAATCATTAAGTAGTGGATCGAAAAGATTAATAATTATGGTAAACTTATGAATATTTATGAGCAATGAGACCAAAAGTCGCACGGTTCAACAAAACTAAAGATTTAATACGTTTAATCAGATACTATAGGAACTAAAATAAGAATATATCAATAATCGAGGAATCAAAATGATACTTACCCCTCGTGATCAGGAGAAACTCCTTGAAAAAAGATTCTTGTTTTTGTTGAATTAAGATTAGAATCAGCCCATTTGGCCCATGTATTTAATCCTTTCTTATAAAGTTCCATTCTATCCATATCTTTATACGTAATATTCCCTTCTTGAATCACATTCCAACTGCAAAATAATGATAATAATAAAATAATCTTGCATTAAATAGATAATAATTAATAATATTCCATACAATAACAAACATACTATATAGTATATCGAAAAAAATATGAAGAATATCACTGTATATCACATGTATATCTCACGTTTGTTTTTGCCCTTTGCGATCCCACCAATGCCATGTATTAAAAATCAACACATCCATTTGTTTCCAAATATTTCCAGAACTAATTGAATCAATCTTGAGTACTCTTGACCCTTTTTGAGTGATAGTATCAACAATGAGTGGATTCCCAAGGAACAATAACCAAATATTGTATTCCTATATCACAAAAAATGTTATGTAAATTAAAATAAAGAGGGGAAAAATCATAGAACATATATATATGAAAGAAGATTTAGGTTATATACGTTGATAATGTAAAGAACTGATATTCTGTATTGGTGATTTGGATTATTTTACAAGTTACTAATCTCAATTTCAAGGAACAATAACCAAATATTGTATTCCTATTATTACAAGAGATGTTATGTACAAACAAAGAGCGGATAAAACATGAAAAAAATAAGATTTACATTATATAAGCTGATATTATAAGTGCTACTAATTCTTATATATATATATATATGATATTTTTTAATGAATTGATAGTCTAAAGAAAATATCATATTGTAAAATTATAAAAGATAAATTTGAAAATAATATATAGCTTACCAAAAGGGTGAATGTATAAATCTTTCCAATTTTGTCCATGCTATACTTGGCTTGTGGTAGTGAAACATGAAGCATACATGCAAGAGAAACCCATTGATTTTGACCAAGTGAATCCCCAACAAACATTATGCGTTTTCCTTTGTATTTCAACACCAATTCAGTTCCATTAAATCTATAAGAATGAGAACATAAAAATGAGAAGAAAAAAAAATCCCATTCAATAATATTGAAATCTTTAATTTAGGTGTGCATTTGGTACGAACGAAAATATTTTTCTGTAAAATTATCCTTTGATATTTGATAAGTAAACAGAAATTATTATCTCAAAAAGTAGTTATATATACTTTGACAAATACTATGAGGCCGGTGTGAGTTGGAGGGGTGGGAGCGCGATACTAGTGGGGGTGCTAGGGTAAATGCAAAATTAAGATTTTTTCTGTGAGTTCAGAATTTTATATTTTAATTTATGGGATTTCAACTTAATAATATATTTATACAATTTCAAAATAATTTTTTTAGGACAATACATGATTTGAATCAAATTTATTAAGTTCGGTAAATACTCAGTGAAAGTGGGGTTGATGAAATTTATTTATCCTCTTTAATATTTAAAGAAACATTTTGATCGATCATCTAATGAAAAAATCGAAAAGTATTTTGTAAAACAAAAACACACCCTTAATAATCAATGAAACAATTAATTAAAAAAAAAGACTTATTTAAAAAATCAATTACCTTGGCAAATTACATCCATATGGTTGCCATCTATACTTGAAATAATCTTTATCAATGCGTCCATTCTTTTGACAATCAAATGAGGGTTCAATAAAAGGACAAGTTGATGTATTATATAGAGAATATGATTCATCAAATACCCAACTCCCTTTGTAAATATCACACCCCTTATTTATTCCTACTAAAGTTACCTCATTGAAGATTTTGGTTTTTGAATTCAAGAAAAGAGAAAGTGCATAGATGGTTAAAAATGTTGATACAATGGCAATGATAGATATAGAGTAATAAACCATGAGAAAAAGTTTACAATTATTTTTATTGTATCAATAATTTGATGTACAAAATGAGGGATCTTTGGTCTTTTGTATGTGTGCAATATATATATATATATATAGGTGAAGATGAAATGAATTTGATGAATTTTTGAAATGGATTCATGCATGTGTTCATTTTCTTTATGTGGCATAGTAAGTGATCATCATGATGATTAATTAGTAACTTATAGAAAAATATTAATTTCTTAAGCTTGTTTGGAGTGTTACCAATAATAATTATATTGTATTATTGATTTAAATATAATATTTATAATGATTGTTATTTAAATTATTGCTAATTTTATGTTGTTGCATAAAGATAAAAGTTTTGTGTGAATGACGTTGTTATTTTTTTTTTGCTATAATAATTTATCTTTTACCTATATTTTTATAATAACTTTGTCCCGCATCTTACTATTCTTTCTAATTTATCTATCAAATTGCTTATATTATTATGCAACAACGATAAATAATACGATCTATTCAATTATTATATTTATCAAAATTATATGATATAATATCATATAAATTATAATATGATATGATAAGTAACAACCATCCAAACGTAGTGTGAAAGCTACACATTTTTTATGTAAAATTTTACTTATTGATTTTTGCTTTATCTACCCATTCAATGGATATTGACAACTTGATTTGGAAACCAAAAACTTGTATCCTTAATTACTAGCTCCACTTGATTCACTTCACTAATTATAATATATGCTAATTATTATTGCTAATAAATTTTGGTTATGGTTTAAAATTAAGGTTCTAAAAGTTTCCATCGAAACATATATTTAAAAAAAAAAATCATTTTTTGACATAGGGAGAAGAAATTAAATTGATAGTTCTAATAGTATGATGTATCTAGTTTTTCAAGGGTAGATCTACAAGTTCATGTGAACCTTTTGAAAAATCTACTTAAATATTTATAAATATTTAATCATGAACTGAATTATTATTATTATAGAATGAATTTGAATCGATACAGAAAATCATAAATTTTAGACAGTTTACGAACTTTTAGAGATCGGGGGAATCATACTATTGGACTTTGACCCAAAGTTTTAATGTTATGGGCTTTTCTTGGAAGTCAATAAGCCGTTTTCCCGATTTGAGATGCATTATAATAAATAAAAGTGAACAAACGGAGTAATAATATATTAATTTGATCTATATTTGATGAAGAATTGCACTTAATAGTACATTCCAAGTATCAGCAACACCAGCAATACACCAATGTGTGCAATCCACATTTCTATGTCCACCAAATCCATATACTGATGGATGACCATCTACTCTATATTGTGACAACTTTGTTACATTCAACAAATGAACTGATTTATTCATCCCTCTCAATACTTTCTCCAACACAATTTCTCCAGGATGTGGTCCTTGTGTACTCTCCGACGGTCGCGTCGCTCCGGTACAACTAATTTTATAACCAAAAATAAATATATTTTGTCAGTGTATAAAATTTAAATATTAAAAAAATGTCACGTAAACTGAGACGTGTGTGTTCGAACTTACTTGTCATGGTCAGGAGAAACTCCTTGGAAAAATATTTTGGTTTTTGTGGTGTCAACTTTAGTGTCCACCCATTTTGCCCAACTATTCAATGCTTTTTCATATAGAGTTACACGATTTGCATCTTTGTACGTAGAGTTTCCATCTTGAACAAAACCCCAACTACAAAAAACAATTATAATCACAATATGTTCTATGTATTGACGATGTAAAAAGTATTTTTATAAATTTACATTACTTTAATTTATAAGATAATGTTGAATAAGTTTAACGTCTTTATTGACTAACGTGCTATTACATGTTAAAATACGAGAACTTACGGTTGTTTTCTACCGGTGTGAAACCACCAATGCCAAGTATCAAAGATGAGGACATCCATTTCTTCCCATTGAGCCGCGGCGCTTAGAGAATCGAGCTGTAAAACTCGGGTTCCGTTCTCCATTTTGACAACGTCTACTAGAAAAACATTTCGAGATACCAGGTAGGACGTGTTGTATTTCTGTAAAGAGTAGGATACGAAAGTCTATTTATATACAATGAAAAACCCTATTTTGAAAATGCATATCAACAACAAGTTTAATAAGTTTGACTTATATTTTCATAGGCTAAATTTAACGGTACGCACCGGAAATGTGAAGAAAGAAGTGGATCCATTCCTCTTGGAGATATATTTAGCTTGTGGATCAGCTGCATAAAGCATACAAGTGAGAGATTGCCATTGATCCACACTTAGTGAATCTCCTACAAACATCACCTTCTTCCCCTTTAATTTGTGCTGAAAATGTTTAGCATTAAACCTATACACAAATGAACATACATGACATTAAGGGCAAAATTAGTCCTTTATGAATAAGAAAAGTTGATTTTTCTTTTTCTAATAAAAGTAAGGAAAATAAGTTTTGTGGTTGTTCATTTCATAAAAGGTGTTAAATAATCAGATTAAGTCAAGTTTGGACGAGTCAAAATTGATTGAGTTGATAAATCTGAGTTGGTTACTGATTCCATCCAAAAGTTACTTGAATTGAAATGAGCTAAAATTATATAGGGCATAACTCAACTGCCCAATAAAACTTATCTTTTTTGTTGTTATGGTAATATTATATTAAACACAAAAAAAAATCTTGTTGAAATTTTTGATGAGTGAATCTGGATTACCTATCAATCCGATATTTAGTAAGCTGAATAAGACGGGTCAATCCCAAACATCGATAAGTTCTGTTTTCACGAGCTAATTTGTCACCTCTCTTCTTCCGCCTCATTACCCCACCTAACCCCACTCCCCACCCTATCTCTCACAGGAAATTACCCCTCTCATCCATCTTTGACCTATCCAACCCCAGGGCCCCACCATCGAGCCCACCTCGATCTTTTCCCCTACCTCGAGTCCCCAATCATCCTTTCATCACAATGTTTTCCCTGGTTACATATAAACATTTAAGACAAAATTTTCTGTCGACTCCCAACAAAAAAAAATAGGGGAAGAAATTAAAAAATCGTTTATTTTTTTAAAAAAACATTTGCCTTCTTGTCAACCATATCTTAATTAAGTGTTTCGAAAAAATAAAATAAAAAATTGCCAAATTAAGTACATAAACACTAAACAAAAACTAAAAACAAGAACAACATAGATTAAAAAAAATGTACCTAGGTAAATTGCACCCATGGGGTTGCCATCTATATTTGAGATAGTCTCTATCTTGCCTTCCATTATTCAAACAATTAAATTGCTTTTCAATAAATGGACAAATAGATGAATCATAAAGAGGATAATCATCATCATAAACCCAATTCCCATTGAATAAATCACAATTATCCATTCCCAATTTGTTCACATCATTCATCAACTTCCCATCTACATTTTTCAACATGAAAATTACAATAAAAAATAATACTAGAGAAAAACTAGCCATCATTATAAGACTAGCCAAAAAACTAAAATAAAAATGCTTTAGTCTCTTTTTATTTGTGTCTATTTGATACTTGGAAGGGTCCTATATATATATAATTTTTTTTCAAAAAAAAAGAATCAATGAGAAAAAAGGGCATTAATTAATTTTCTTTAATTACTAGTCATTAATAAATTTCCAAATAAAGAAAATGAGTAATTTTATTAAAGAAAAAGGAAGTAAAAACAAAAAGAAGGTGGAAATAATAAGTAGATTAAGGTAATCAGATTGGGAATTATGTAAACATAAAGTGCATGAAATATGTTGGTTAGAAGTTTACAAGTAGTAGGTGTGATAAATATTGGAGTATATAATAAATATCTTGCATCATAAAAAGATTTAGTCAAAACTACTAATATATTTGAATGAATTCTCTCTATTTTCATGTTCTTGATTTAAATCGATCTTAAGAAGGAATTAAAAATTAAAAATGAAGAAAACAAAGGAAATTAAATGATCTAGATCACATGAAACAATTTAAAGTCTTGATTAAAATTGAAGTGGATTGAATTGTGGCTGATTAATTTTTATGGTAAAAGGATTCGAAAGACGCTTCAACTTTAGTCGAAACTGTTGTTACAATTACAAATTTTATGGGGGATCTTTTATCCCCTGCATTATTTAATAGTGTATTTTAAAGATATATATGTGCCCAAGTGGACACGTTACTATTTATAATTATGCAACATTTATGATGTTCACGTGGATAGTGAATACATATATGCCTTAAAAAACACTATTAAATAGTGTAAAAATAACAAGTCCTTTTCGGCGATGTCGATAAAAGTTCGGATATATTTTAAGACCTTTTTTCTATTTCTTTTACATAAGTATATAAGAGTTAATTCTAGAAGCTTCTCCTTACGTGTTAAGCATATTAGAGGGTAAAATTGAACTTGTAAGAATGGTTATTGAGTGTGTACAAATAATAGTAAGATAAAATGTATCTCTATATTTTTATTTTCGTATATAATACTTGTACAAATATTAAATTTTGGTTTAATATAATCAT